ATTTCATCGTATTTTTCTTCGATCGTTGAACTGGACGCAAACGCAAAACGGAAGACTTGACTGGGTAGGGGGTGGGGACCGAGATTATCCTATTCTTCTTGCTCGCTTCTCTAGCAAACCCCGCCCCCTACCCCCGCGTGCTTCGCACTTACTTTGCTCGCTTTTTCTTTCGCGTGCGTAAATAAAGAAGCTGTGAACAGTCTATTCTTATACTAAAGTCATCATACATAAGGCGGCTATCGTGGCTGTGGTGTGATCTATTAATATATTACAACTGGATAAGTTTCAAAAAATAAAAGTGCATTATTTTAAATGGAAATTCGTGTTCTTCATTTTCGCTAGTTCTTTGGTGAGAAAATGTAAATGTAAATGTGAATGCAAATTAAATGTCAAACACAGGGAGTGCTTGCGCGATCGACCGGGCCAGAGGCTCATGATAAAGTGCCTGACAATAATCCAGATCGAATTGGAATTTAGAAATGTTGGTTTTTGAGGAGAGGGGAAAACCGGAGTACCCGTAGAAAAACCTATTGGAGCAAGGAAGAGAGCCAACAACAAACTCAACCCACATATGATGCCGGGGCCGGGAATCGAACCCGGGACACATTGGTGGGAGGCGAGCGCTCTCACCACTGCGCTAACCCTGCTTCCCTAGAAGAAAGAAACTTTTGCTGATCGACAGAAAGACAATCCGTAACTGAACTCAAATTGGGTCGGATTGGCGATCGGAATGGCTCTACACGATCCTTTACTATTCCAAGTTTATTTACATTATTCTGTAGCAAGCCAGAAAAATAAAAAGCATTTTCAATCTCAAGGATGAAAAACCTTAGCTTATCACATTTATTAACCAAGAAGAATGTTGATATGCAGATATCGATTTGCGTTATATCGAATTACATACAACACTAGATGAAGAAAGTCGCTGTGCCTCCCAAAGATCCAGGACCGTGGACGTATCTTCCAGCTTAAGAAAATCCAAGCCAGTTATTTACATGGAGAAACGTTTATTCGAAAAAGATTTATTTCAAGAGGAAAATTATCGATAGCCTGGCCTGACTGTTCAACAAAGCAGCCAATTACTTTGCACAAAGGAATCAAGTGGTATATGCTGCTGAGTTATTCCCTCCGTTTGTAACTTGGTAGATAATGACGATATACAATCACGGACAGAATTGAACCCGAAAGTGACCACTATAGAAAGCGAGGTTGCTATTTCTAAAAGGAATTGTAAAGCTGCGTGGGCGAGAAAATAAAGCATTAGACCTTGACTAATTAGATCCAATTTTATGATATCGTCGTGTCATGTTTACGGTAAGTGACCCAAATGTCACCAATCGATCACATCTGCATTGCACGAGGTTTTTCAATGATATAGCATTTGCTGTAAAGAAAAAACTGTGCGTGTAGGCCAAAGTACATGTACTTGATGGATTTAATATAGTTTAGGCTTTATTAGAGTTTAGGGTTAGGGTTACGGTTTAGGACTTATTAGGGTTAAGCTGAGTCTTGAGGTATAAACCTTACGCACGAAAGGGCCAACTTAGAAAGTATTACCGGCGCATCTTGCTATGAAATATGTACTATTACAGTTTTCTGATCAGTAGTTATTTCATATTTTGTTACCTATTTATTTACCATGGCGAAATGTGGGCATCTACATCGCACAATATTTTTTACTACTAAGGAATTTGTTCTAAAAAGCGCAACAATACCTTTAAGTCAATTTTATTTTCACGAAATTAACAACAATAAGATAAACATTTGCTTTAATACTTATACCCAAGGGTGGTTACCTGAGAAACCATTTCGCTCTCTGTTTATTAGCTAGTTGTACCTTAAGCAAAGTGCAATTCTGAAAGCTTACCCACCCAAATGCGACCAATCATTGCACGATACGAATTTATCAGTTGCCATTAAAATACCCTGTTTCAATCAGGCGAGGTCATTCTTCCTTCGAGATCGGCGAAACGAGGTAAGCAAAAAACATTATTAGTGGTGGCATCGTTTTGTTCACTACATGACGATTTAGCTAAGGGATACTTGCTTTTTCCTTATTTCTTACTTCAGAATTTCGATTATTTATCACTAAGGCCAAACAAGAAAATAATGCAATAGATTTAATACAAAGCCTCAGAAAATGAAATTTGTTGTTTAGTAGAAATTTATATCCCCAAGACATCTTGAGTCAAACAAAATCTTATTGAAAATCCATGGCTACGCCCAGTCGCGATCAAAATAGGTAGAACTCACTTCAAGAAAAATTGCGTAAGTAGTTCTGCCTCCACTCAGACATGGAAACCCGAGATAAAGGGCTAAATGCCATCCAAAACTGCTAGTTGTTTCAAATGATTGAACCGAGGATTATCAGTAAAGTTCCTTAGTTGCACAAATTAAAGCAACGTCCAGGCAGCTACACGTATATTACTAGTTCAACCTAAAGACCGTCTACGACGGACAACGGCGACTACACCGGCAAAATTTGATTCTTTAACAGGTT